CCCCCTGCCCCGCCCTCACCCCCTGCCCCTGCCTGGGCACCAGCAGGCAGACCTTACAGTGACAGTGAGGACACAAAGAAACAAGTAAATGTAACAGGGGCTCGCAGAAGCACTCTTGAATTTAATCACTGTATCATTAATTTATTCTTTACACTGGTTAGTAATTATATACAACATGATGCCAGACGGGTGCATGAGGGCTTGGAACATTTGTGCGAGAAATATTTCTCAATAAGCTCTACTGAAGAGCTCTTGTGAACGGTACTTAAAGGTCCCATGTCATGGCCATTTCTACTGATAATAATTCCATCGTTGAGGTACAGTATATTAGAATAGATATTATATTTATGGTGCTGAGGGGGCTGCAGCAACCCCCATCTGCGAGGCTCCACTAGCACCCGCACCCCCCCAGCACGTCACAGTTTTGTGTGTGTGTGTGTGTGTGTGTGTGTTTGTGTGTCTGGAGCTCCACGCATTGTCCATTTGGACTAACCCTAACCCTTAAACTATTTTTTATTTTATAAAGTCTTGTTAGTCAACATCCATTTTCAAGTTGCAAGAAGAGTTTGTTTTCAGGAATATCTATGTTATTTCCATTCATTATTTATGGAACACAGACAAATGTCAACAACTACAATTTTCAAACCCTAGTATCAGTTACAATTAATCCTCCAGAGGAAATTGCCTTACTTGGATGAAACCATTGCTATCCATCAAATCCTGGGTCTCTTTCCACCTTTTTTTCTTTTTTTCTTCGAGTGCATTTCTGGCAAGCTGAATTAAAACATGACAACGGTAGCAGACTAGTAATTCATCACTGTGCCTCAGCAGCAGGCCTGTTCCACACACAAGCCACTGTGAAGGTCCACCACTGCTGGAAAATGTTTTATAAAACACAGACGACTGGGTTCATAATTCTTTCTCGCACATTCCAAAGATCAGCATTGTTTAGCAGCTGTCTTCTGAGTTCCTCACCCACCCACAGAGCCTCCTGCCTGCACCTGTAAATGAAAAGCATACCGCTCGGTTACCTCGCAGCTGCAGAGGATGGCAGCAGCGTGTCCACTGTGGAGCCAGCGCGGTTCAGTGGAAGTCTGGCACCCGTCCAACGCAGCTGAAAGCTTCCAGCTGTTGGACTCACAAGGCGTTTACCCAGAGACAGACCTCAGGAGGTCAACACGTAGAGGAGTGCGGTTTGAAAGCTTCACACAGAGCGCCGCAGGATCAGTTTAGAGGAATATTTCGGCAGGTAGACATCGCAGAGCTTTTCGGAATATCACACCCCACTGTGTAGGGAAGTGTTTGAGGAATGGGGCCTTAAGTAACCTGGAGAAGAGCCTCAACATGCACATGATTTGCTGAATCTAGCTTGACTTCAAATAAAAAGTTAGTTACATAGAAGTCCAGAATACTGCTGGTTCATCCCAGTTAAAACCGGTCTGAACGGCTCTTAAAACCAGCAGGGCTCTTTGGTCCTGAGTGTGCGGAGGATGAGTACATTCACAGGTGCAGGAAGAGCACACATTCTTTGAGTTCCTAAACAATAACACGTGCTGGATCATCCCTTTCAATGCTAGTATTTGCCATCATGCGTTGGAAAGCTGAGAATTTGTTATCAAAACATTTTTTTACATTGAAGATTTCAATCAGACAGAATTAGAAAGCTAATCATTACGATTAAACAGCTCCTCATTATTCTGTGTTGATCCTGTCATATCCAGTTAAGACTACGTGCACCATTTTCACTGGCTCGTCGTTACAGGTCTGCAGCTCATGACGGGATTCTCTGTTTAGATTAAGTCAATCAAGCTGATTAGTAAAGGGAACATTTGCCTCGTTTGTGGATGTACAAGTGTTTATGGCTAATATAGTCGTTTAAATTAATCAGTTCCTCAGTGCATGCTAAATTGAACTCAAAATCTGAGTTCTCCAGCAGTGCCTACACCTACCTGCGTCTGATTTTTTGACACAACCTAGCTTCCTGCTTAACAGTGCGTCATTCTTAACTTAAAGTACATTAGCATCTAAATATGAATTCTTCACCTGTTTCCAGATTCCTCACCTACTGCCCCAGTAAGAGGATTTTATCGGACGAGGGGCTCAAGCACGAGTACCTCCGCGAGACGCCGCTGCCCATCGACCCGTCCATGTTCCCCACCTGGCCCGCCAAGAGCGAGCAGCAGAGGGTGAAGAGAGGCACCAGCCCTCGCCCACCCGAGGGAGGCCTGGGCTACAGTCACCTGGTAAGGACATTAAGGCTCCATTTTCTCCATTACACACAGCTACCAGTCTTTCCGTACGCTGTCTGTGTTAAATAGATTACAGACCTACAGGCCTCTGCTTTGTGTCCGCGTATTTCCTCCTTATGTTTTCCATGATGAGCTACCGTTGGGGCCCTAATTTTTTCAGCAGTGGTCCTACCCACCCAGAAGCTAAAGGCTTATACTTTCAAGGACAGTTACAGGAGATATTTTCATTCACATTTTAAGGCAACGGTATTGGTTGTTTAGCCCAGCTTTTTTCTTTTCAAAAGTTGAAAAGCTTTTATTAAAACTCCACTGAAACACCGAAAAGGAATATTTCAATTAATAAAAATCAATATGTATCATAAGAATCATTCAGGTTGAGGTTATAATATAAAATATAGAGGAAATTATATCAGAAGAGTGATACAACTTGATTAACCAGGAGCAATCTTTGTTTCTCTCCAGGGTGACGATGACCTCAAAGACACAGGCTTCCATCTGACGACCAGCAACCAGGGGGTGTCTGCAGTCGGTCCTGGATTCAGCCTCAAATTCTGAGCCCAGAAACAGCTGGACACCTGGCTGTCTGACAGAGCGAGAGCAAAGAAAGTTCTGTGAATTGTTTCTTCTTTTGGAATTGGACAGTGTCGCTGGTTTACAGCTGTGAACCAGAGCGAAATCTGACCGGTTACAACTGTTACCAGATAGTCAGGACTGTCTCACAGCAAGACTGGTGGCTCAAACATGTTGAATCTCCAGAAATGTCCCTGCAACCTTTTCGGCTTCTTCTATGTTTTTTACAAACCATTTCACCTTTTTAAACGTGGTCATTTTAGCTCTTAACAGGAGACACAACCATTAACCTTTTTAGAAGTTTAGCTCTCATGTTTTTCTTTATTTTCCCTTTTTATACTTCATGAGAGGGCCAGCTTTTCTAAATGGTTGGTATTTCCTGGCTGCCTGAGCTACTGTATAACGATGCTTTCATCCAGTATTATGTTAGAAATATACTGTCAATGTCACTCCATGACGTGGGCGATGTTATTGCTCAAAATAAAGTTTGAAACTTTGTTTTGTCTGACGCTTTCCATATATTTATATACCCTGTCCAAGCTATCCAAACAGAACCGCACGCTTCCAAAACAGAAAAAAAAAACGAAGGGAAGTCGAGCCTACAAAAAAAAAATCCATACTTGAACCCAACTCGGTAGTCGCTGTCCAACAGTGATGTCATTCTTTGCACTGCACACTTTGTCTCAGTACTTTGTTCTTTCAGGGGAAAGAGACCCAGACTTCACTCTGCCTGTTTGAATGTTGAATTGCTCTGCGACTTCAGAATCAAACCAATAAATTCTTTGATTTTGAGCCGAAGGAAAATAAACCATACATTACATTCCGCTCGCTGCTTTCGCAGAAAAACAAACCCATTGTCTTGGGATGTATAGAGCCAGCTCTAAATGTTCATTAATCAGTTTTATCTATCCCCTTCTGCAGATTATTACACCTGATGTGTTGAATAACCTTGGAAAGAGAGCTGCTAGTGGAATCGACTGCTCTGGATCTCTGGAGGCAGACTGCTGGCTTCACTGTGAGGCTAGTAAAGTAAGCTAGACGTCTGAGGTGTTCCATATGTGGTTTTTGGTCCAAATGTTTCCAAAAGCTGTAGACAACACTGCTTATTTTGGCTGAAGAAGTGTAGTTTGGTCAGTGCATACATTATTCATAAGGCAAGGGCTTCTGTAACTTTCTTTAAGCTCCTTAACAGAAACAGACCTGTTTTTTTTTTTTTGTTGCAACATTTTCTCTGGGACCATTTAGCTAAAGATTGTGTGTTCACTGTATTTTAGAATATTCGCATATAGTGGTTCAGAAATTGATACGTTTTTGACTAGATGCTCAAAGAAGAGGGTTTCATGTTTTGCTCTACAACATAAAATGTCATTAATATTCTACATGTATGTGTCTTATAATTGGCGGGACTATTTAACGTCATCACGCCAAACGAGTACCTTTTAGCTCAGCGGTTGTGACGCCCTGCGACTGATTTAGTGCGTTTATAGCCTAACGATAGATTTAACTTCTGGTGATTGTCCCCAGCTGTCCCAGAAAGCAACGCAGGTTCTGGCCCAGGCTCTCGTCATCTCACGCCTAGTCTACTGTAACTCCCTCCTGGCTGGTCTACCTGCATGTGCCATCCGACCTCTGCAGCTCATCCAGAATGCAGCTGCTCGTCTGGTCTTCAACCTTCCTAAATGTTCCCACACCACGCCGCTCCTCCTTCACTGGCTTCCAGTAACTGCTAGAATCCACTTCAAGATACTTGCATACCATGCTGCGAATGGATCTGGCCCTTCCTACATCCAGGACATGGTTAAACTGTACACCCCAGCACGTGCACTTCGCTTTGCATCAGCCAAATGACTCGCTCACCCCTCGCTGCGAGGGGGACCAAGTTCC